AGCTGGGATAGTTCAAAGCCGCATTTGAAGACACCACTTAAGATAATAGTAGAGCAGTTTCCTATGGAAATAGGATCTAAAACGATTCTCTTTTACACAACGCCATAGCCTCAATAATCCTTTCTCTTGTATGAAATGATTATTCACCAAGTAAAACAAATAAAATTATACAAGAAGGATATTTATTGATGATTAAAATCAACTGGAAAAAAATGAAATGGGAATAAACTCTTTAAGGAAATCATCCTTAATGGAATCGAATGAACCAAAGTTGTTATTCCCAACTGGACGAGTAAGTGCATTTAGGTAACAGTTCTTCAATCGGCAGTTTGTCCCATAAAGTATTTCTGGTGTAGCTGCACACTGATATATGTAAAGCAAATTATACTTATGGTGTGTGTCTGATGGGAGTCATCTGCATCAGTTTGGTGTAGGTGGAAGGATGGGATCCTCATCTCTGACCTGCTTTTGTCAAGTATAATGACAATATTCATTCCTCAGCGTTCTTGTTGGTCGAAAGAGCTTTCCCTTGTAACGGCAGCAGCCTGATTGGCTGCAATTATTGTTTGTTCCGACACGTTTAGATCTAGAGCATGTACTCTGTCATATATCATGTGATTATAACCCTGACAAAGGCATCTTATCGGTGTCCTCCATTGGAGAAGGTATTAATGTCCAGGGCATTATGGAAATGAAAACAGTTAATAGAATAAACATTATTGCTATAAAGTTTGTACTTGTATGTATCATACAGTCACTTTTTTACACCCTGGCATATAATACGGGGGGATATAGTCAAGGCCTTGCCCATATGTCTGTCCGTCCGTCCATCCATCCATCTGTCCATAATGATTTCATTTCTGGAGTGAGTTTCGGATGTCAATACACCTCAAGCTGTGCTGACTCTTCATGAATTAACGATCAGATATATCAAACAGATCCTGAAGTGGTTCCTTTTGCTATTTACAGATTTTGGCCGTTTTTATTTTACGTGATTTCCATGGAAACAATTTGGACATTGTCACCAAAGGGGTGTGGTGGTTTATTTTTCTGGAGCACAACTCAAGAAACGTTCAATATCTGTCAACAAAACTTGGCAGATATATCAAGCAGATCCTGAAGTGGTGCCTTTTGCTACTTGCAGATTTTTGGCAGTTTCATTTTTCTCAATTTCCAAAGGAACAATTTGGACTTGGTCTCTCAAAATGGGGGTGTAGGCGTTGTTTCTGGAGCACAAGATGAAAACTGTGAAAGACTTTTCATCCAAACTTGATAATGTATCAACCTAAGGCTGAAGTGGTGCCTTTTGCTATTTAGGAATTTTTCAAAATTTGATTTTTTTCCACTTTTTTTGATGGAAACAAGTTTGACTTTGACTTTGTGCATAGTGGTGTGTTTGACCTGACCATATCTCGAAAACTATTGGTTCTCTGTCTTAAAACTGTGCAATACAAAGTTTCGAATCCCAATTCCATGGTATTGTTTTGATAGCTCAATAACTTCTCTTGTATACGGACAAACAGATTAGAGAAAAATTCTCTCATCAAGTTGGACTGAAGTAACAGTCAGATGATTTGTTCTTTCGAATCTGTGGGGGCGGGGTGGATTTATCATCTTCTGATGACTCTTGTTTGAATCGGCACCCATCAGAAGGTACACTGTAGTCTTAGTTCTAACATTAGTATAAATCTTAGTATAAATAATTCAAACTGGACATCAGACATGTGGAGAGTTTTCTCCCTAGTGTGCTTATTTAGCAAGAGAAGGGCACTTGGATAATTGCAACTGCCCCAAACGAAAGATGGCAACACCTTGCAAAGTCCTCCCCGAGTTTTCCATGTTGGTCATCTGAGCAACACTTGTGAATGTAAGTATGTAGAGTCAGTGCTTCCCTGACAAGTGCCGGCCTTCCCTGAAGAGGCCCTCATCAATTATACATCAACAAAACATTTCAGTGGACAAAAAAAGTGACTTTTGACATTTTCGGTGCCGTGATTTTTCACCAAGGAAGTAAGTGTGCTATTGCTGAAATCCCCAGGTGCAGGTGTGTTTGTGGAGAGGGAAGGCTTCTTGAGAGGTCCATCGTTAATTCATGAAGAGTCAGCACAGCTTGAGGTGTATTGACATCCGAAACTCACTCCTGGCAGCCCTCCCCACATGGCCAGTGCTAGACTAAAAAAACTCACTAATGGCTCTTCATTGATTGGAGACCAGAACTGTTGCATTGGTCCGAAGTAAATCTACACTTTTTGACAATGGCAAATCTCTTTGACATCAGTGCAGAATTTATGACAGGGATGCGATGAAGTATTTGAAGGCAAAATGCCATTAAATCTATCTGGTGAACAGGATCTGTTGAACATCATGGACCAGAATTCAGTCTCGTAGAGGAGCATTATGGGTAAAATACTGAGGAGAGACGTTTTTAAATGTCTTCGCCTTATTGATTGTTAGAGATCCTCACAAGTAACGTTTGTGTATCAACTGCAGTGACGATATACGATCTTTGCACAGGAGGGACAGTTTGAAGACGTCTTCATCATCCTGAAGGATAAATATTAGGGTCATTAACTTTTCACAGGCTCGATAGTAGCAATCCCTCGGTTGCAAATGTGTTATACATTATCGGCGAGGGAGACTGCATTGGATACTTTAAGCTTCGGAGGCAGTAAGCAATGGTGAAACTACGGAGACTAGTCGGCAGCCGACTTAACCTTTTGTTGAAGAAGCCACAAATCATGCATTGTTTTCTCTTAGAAGAAAGATAGATGATAGAAATTTTAACCCCATCGGGTTCAGCAACAAATCACAAATATTTTTATGGAGGATGTAACTTGATGGTTTAACATGTCAAATCTACATGCATAAATCCAGTTTATGTATATAATATGAACCGAAAATTTCATATTGCTCAGACTACCTTTTTTGGATCAATTTTCTTTATTGATTCCCAGTTGGTTTTTTCTCTCTCAGCTTTTGACATATCATTATATTTCTCACTAGTTTTGATGGTGAAATGAGGCATGACAAATAGAATTATAGGGATGAGTAACGATAAATATGACTTGAAATTAAAACCTCTGTCAATCAATAATGATTTGCCTCTCAAATGAATTCTCCCATCAAAACCATTTTTTTGTCAATCCTCAAGTCTCCGACATATGTAGGTGGATAAAAAACGGAAGCAGTACATCAAAGTAAAATCAGAAAGACATTCAGTTAGTTTTAATCACATGTGATTAAATAATTATTATACTTCATCAAAATCATTCATACAGAAATGAAAGAAACTCATCATATTTATACATGATCTAATCTATTATTCCAATGTGCCTGTCAGACTTAGTGATGGATTTTCCAGAAAGGAATTCGTTCAGACGATAGTTCCTTTTTTTTAGCAGTTCCAAGATGTGCCCCTGTCATGCACTTAAAACATACAGACCGGACTTTGTCGTACGAAATCTTTCCTTTAATAAAAAAGTCTAACTATTTCTTAGGGACAATTATCCACTTAGCGTACAGTTCTATCGATTGCCATGCAGTGATTTCCACCTAGCTGACTGCACCAATCGAATAAAAAGGCTGATTAAATCCTGCACTCATTCCATTTTATCAGTCTTTATTTTCTGATAGAAAGTCTGCAAATATGATGTTACGGGTTTAATGAAGCACCTGGGAGGCAATCAATGGACATGTTCAGATGAACTGCTTCACCCTGGCAGGTTCCTGCTAATCAAGGCAAACCCTCCACGCTTGCAGGAAGACCTTTTTACCAATGTAGGCGTTGGACCGGGATCAGGGATATATGTCTTGTTTTCACTAATCACTGTAGATGGAGACACCATATTTCATTCATATGTAAGATCATTCAAAACAATGGTCCTTCTGCGTGAGGTCATGAAAGTTTCAACATAGAAATATGATAGTGAACATGTTTTTGTATCTTGGTAGAATGAGGCTAGTTTATTCAAATATTGGGTCCATTTTGTCTTGGATGTCATGAAAGGCTGGATTTTGCTGTTATGGTTAATAAGTTGCCCATGGTAAGTTAGGTCCTGAATTGATTTCTTTCCATCAGTTTATTGACCAGTTTGGTAACCTTCTCAGTGCCAAGAAAAATATGTTACGAGAATAATTATTTAAAAAATCAGCAATCCGATCAGTCAGAAAATATGTTTGGTGAACACATTCTTGTGATTAAGGAGAACAAATAAAGCTTGGTATCCAGCGCAAAGTCACATCAGGGACAATTATTCCTGATGTTTACCTTGTAAAAGGAGACTGTTGATGGAATAATCCATACATTAATGGCCATTTATCATCAATATACATCTAAGGTTCTTGTCATGCTTCATGGGGTGGATATAGAAGTCATTGAGCACAGGGCTTTTCCCTAAATCAGAACATTACCACTGTGTTGAATAATTGGTCCACACTTCAATTTGGGTGATGATGGCAGTGGTTTATAAATGTAAAAACGTGGCTGCTTTGATGATATTGATGATGATGAGGAAGAGTGTGTTGATGTTGATGTTTCTGCACTGACTGCTGTGGTGAAGTCAATGATTTTCATGGTAAAGAATGGTACTAAAGAATATTATAGCAATTTTGATATTGGCATCAATGAATTAGTTTGGCAATGCAGTTGCAATTGTGCCTCTTTTGATGATTGTGGCAACAATGGGGATGATTTTGCTGACGCGAAAGTTGACCTGACATGTGATTTTGTTTACAAAGAAAACTTATTGTTTTGTACTGATGATGATGATGATGATGACTGCATGATAATGACACCAGTGATGATGACTGCATGATGATGATGATGATGATGATGATGACACCAGTGATGATGATGATGATGATGATGACACCAGTGATGATGAATTCAAGTTGATGACCAAAAGCCAACAATAATGTTATCAGCGTGATGCTTTTTGTGATGTCACATTGATGATGTCATGTATAGATGGTGTTGTAAAATGGTGTGACTTCTGTTACAGGTGCAGTCGCCAGGATGAGTGTAAGGCCTATGAGATGACAATGCGATGGCTGCCCTACAGCGGACAGCAGTGTACCAACATTACCCGGGTTGTCCCGGAGAAAATACAGAAAGACCACTCATCCAAGACACACACTGTGAGTAGCAAGATGTTGATACTGCCCTCACCATGATGATGATAATACTGCATATTTATGACATCTAATCCATACCCAAACATATTCTCAATGCACTACAATGGACTCTCTCTCTCTCTCTCTCTCTCTCTCTCTCTCTCTCTCTCTCTCTCTCTCTTGATCTTGATCTTGATCTTGATCTTGATTGGACTTGGTTATGATTCTTGGTTTGTCAGCACCATCCCGATACTTGGGCATCACCAAAGTGTTAGACGTCTACGATCTGCATCACTTTGGGATTTCCTCCAACATGATGCTAACATTATGTGATTTAACTGAAATAGACCATCTCCCCACTCACCATTCCAGTGCCTGACACCTGTGTAGGTACATGGGAGTGGAGTATCAGGGTTTGACCAATCATGGCAACATATGCTAAGAATTTCCTTCTCACCAAGTTTTCCAATGGGGAATAAAACCCAGAGCAAATCTATAGGGAGCAATCTGATCACCTCCACTGTGTTAATTTGCCAGTCACCTGGGTATGTTTCATGAAATTGGTTTCAAGACAGCACACTTGCTCGTCACTATCCTAGCCGGCCTTCATGTACATAGGTTGAAAAAACGGGCTTAACATACAAACCCTTTTTGTGATAGTTTATTTTCTGTTTTTGTGTGAAGTGTTAGATGCAATTATAAAAAAGGAAATTGAATAAAGATATTTGCTCTTTTTTCCAAAAGACAAAATAAAACTTTCTTTTTTTTCGGTTCAAGTCCCTGTCATAGGTTGTCTGAACAATTTCAAAACAATTACAGATGAATTTTAGTTCAGGAATTGTTCAAATTCTTCTCAGCGTAAAAAAAGGACCATTTGAAAACGTCCCTATCTGCAAGCCTGTAGGCATAAAACATACTCGACCTGTGTATATTGAGTCAACTGGAGAGATTGTGGGATATATTTGTCCCACTGGTGTTTGTGGAGAGTTGTGAGGTTTAGTTGTGTGTATGTACGTATGTCTATGTCCTTGTCACACTGGTGTTTGTGGAGAGTTGTGAGGTTTAGTTGTGTGTATGTACGTATGTATATGTCCTTGTCACACTGGTGTTTGTGGAGAGTTGTGAGGTTTAGTTGTGTGTATGTACGTATGTCTATGTCCTTGTCACACTGGTGTTTGTGGAGAGTTGTGAGGTTTAGTTGTGTGTATGTACGTATGTATATGTCCTTGTCACACTGGTGTTTGTGGAGAGTTGTGAGGTTTAGTTGTGTGTATGTACGTATGTCTATGTCCTTGTCACACTGGTGTTTGTGGAGAGTTGTGAGGTTTAGTTGTGTGTATGTACGTATGTCTATGCCCTTGTCACACTGGTGTTTGTGGAGAGTTGTGAGGTTTAGTTGTGTGTCCTTGTCACACTGGTGTTTGTGGAGAGTTGTGAGGTTTAGTTGTGTGTATGTACGTATGTCTATGTCCTTGTCACACTGGTGTTTGTGGAGAGTTGTGAGGTTTAGTTGTGTGTATGTACGTATGTCTATGTCCTTGTCACACTGGTGTTTGTGGAGAGTTGTGAGGTTTAGTTGTGTGTATGTATGTATGTATATGCCCTTGTCACACTGGTGTTTGTGGAGAGTTGTGAGGTTTAGTTGTGTGTATGCAGGGTATGAAACTCCCAAAAATTTCAGCCAGACCACAGGACTGGCTAGCTGAAATACTTGCCTGCCCACTATAATCATATGTTTCTCAGGATAAGCTAACAGGGTTTCTTTTTGGTTACATTTTATCATTCATCTTTACATGTGAATTAATGCTTATCTTCGGGAAATATTTAGAATAGTTTCACATATGAAATATAACCCGACCGTCGGACAGGGGGATTTAAAAATCTGGCAGCCCGAGTTGAAATCAACCCGTCTCGGACGGTCGGGCAGGCAGGTATTTCGAACACTGGTGTATGTACGTATGTCTATGTCCTTGTCACACTGGTGTTTGTGGAGAGTTGTGAGGTATAGTTGTGAGGTATAGTTGTGTGTCCTTGTCACACTGGTGTTTGTGGAGAGTTGTGAGGTTTAGTTGTGTGTCCTTGTCACGATGCCCAGCTGCAGCTACAGGTCCAACCACTGTGTCACCATAGTGCACCACCACACAGCTCCTGGCTGACAACAAATAGCCGTATTGTGGCTCTGGATTACTCATTAAAAGATTGGAGACATGATTATGAATTGTATCCGATGAAAACCTCTATTATTTAATAATGACATGATGGACAGTTTTAACAAACAATGAAAATCAGGAATTTATCTCGAAAAATAATTCAGACTTTGATTTGACAATTGACATAATGAGAAATAATTGCTATTAACTGTAATATGTGCCCCATGGCATTTTATGAATAAGTGGAGACAATTTGGCAATTAAGTCTTTTGTTTTGAGATTTTAGATTAATATTTCATTGTATACAGATGATTTGGAAAATAACTCACTTTTTGGCATGTGATTATTATGGTTGCAGGACATAATGCCGGTGACATTTTATTCATTTGATTTAGAAAATTTACGCTGTATAATGACTTTCAAATCTTGTCATTCGTATGCGCAAATAATTGCTTTAACAATGTGCACCTTCCATTGTGTGTTGTAAATCTGTATGTTTAGCAAGGACTGGGATTCACATGTGGATTCTGTTCATGTTATGCAAGTAGATTAGTTTGGGCTAGTCCAGTGAAATATGGGGATTCTGTTCAAGTTAGATTAGTGTGGGCGAGTAGAATGTGAGTTTTGGTTCTGACAGCTGATTGACTAAAGTTTACCTCATCCAATCCTGCTTTCATTAATCGATCATGAAATGATTCACATTCACTGAAGCTGGACACAGGTGGCCCAGTGGTATACGGTGCTGGAGTTCACCTGCAGAGCTGCATGCCTTAATTCCCTGTTAATTCAGTGGTTCAAACCCAGTCCTTGTTTTGTCGGTGCCATGCTTGTGGGTTTTGCCAAAGTTGTGAATGACCTGCATCACAGTGACAACAAACAAACAAACAAACAAACAATGACCGTGAAAATACTGAAATATTTTTCAACAGTTCAACCAATCTCAGTCTGAAGCTAAACATTGTCTGTTTTCTTTTCAGCTGGAGTTACACATAGAAAACCTGCCAGATTTTCCTGGTCAGTACGAGTGTGCCTTTAGCCATGACATGCGTTTTGTCCCGATCATCACGATCGCCAACAAGACGATGAACACTGGGAAGAACACAGGAGTAACGTGCCAGACACCCCTACCCAACCAGCTACCCATGGTTCCTACAGGACAAGGTAAGCAGCCATATTAAATATTTTGAAAATGTGATCCATCAGGACAAGCTGGTCCTCAGAGTTGTCAGTGATCCATCAGGACATGCTGGTCCACAGTGTTGTCAGTGATCCATCAGGACATGCTAGTCCACCGTGTTGTCAGTGATCCATCAGGACATGCTGGTCCACCGTGTTGTCAGTGATCCATCAGGACATGATGGTCCACAGTGTTGTCAGTGATCCATCAGGACATGCTGGTCCACAGTCTTGTCAGTGATCCATCAGGACAAGCTGGTCCACCGTGTTGTCAGTGATCCATCAGGACATGCTGGTCCACCGTGTTGTCAGTGATCCATCAGGACATGCTGGTCCACAGTCTTGTCAGTGATCCATGAGGACATGCTGGTCCACAGTGTTGTCAGTGATCCATCAGGACATTACTTAAAGACAACAGTGTTTGTTCAAGAGCAATGCAATGCAATGGCCAAGCAATGGCATTATTATGGTGTCCTGATGACCGAGGTCAGCTGGTAATGACAGGGGCTGATTCCGTGGCATGTCCGAGACCAATAAAATGTGTGCTTGAGAGAGAGCCTGATCATGTTACTTCACCCAAATAACATCTTGTCTCTCATGGAGCTGCACTGCATTGCTATAGAAACACTCCACAATCAAGTACTCAAGACGATAAGATGTAAATGGATGGGGATGGTATCAAGGCCCATTTGGCTGGACTTGAGCTGCACTGTGATCTATTGGTTGGGGAGACTCCCCGCTGGTATGCCATGCTGGTCTTGATAGCTCAGACATGATTTATAAACTTTTATCACTTAAAAAAATGTTTGGACCTTTCAGATTTATTAAAGATCCTAATGATTCTCAGTATGGTATGTACACCGCATGGTGATTGGTTGTTGATCAGAGATGGTGGTAATGATAGTCCGATAAAAATGTTTATATTTCTTTAAGAAAACTTACGTTCAATTCCTCAAAAACATTTTCAAAATGACCTTTGCACTTGTGGTTGGCAAACCAATGGCTGAGAATCAGAATATGTATCTATATAAGCAATGCCTCCATTACAAGACCCCACTGTACCTAAGCTGGGGGTTATTTTACCGTATACAACCCCTCTCCCACCTGTGCCACCAGTTTGCACATGAGGTCAGGCTGCTATTTTGGTTCAATGCTAAGTAAGTATCTGTTGATGTAGCAGTCAGAGCGACTACAGCATCTGCCTTTGTCTGCATGTCTGTGCCACCGTATCCCTACTCAGGTCGTAGTGCGCCTCTGCACTTCCCATATCACTACACAGGCTACCATGTAATCGTCATGGAAGAGGGCCACCACATAAAGATAGTTCTGTCTGGAATGGCCAAAGAACAGAATGCAATGTGAGCACCTCCTAATGCCTCCTAGCGATCTCAGCACCCCTTAGTGCCAGCTATAGGATGGTCTCACCTGCTTCCCTCTGTCAATGTGAGCACCTCCTAATGCCTCCTAGTGATCTCAGCACCCCTTAGTGCCAGCTATTGGATGGTCTCACCTGCTTCCCTCTGTCAAAAGCGATAATGAGACTGAGAAGTTGAAAGTTGATAGTTCTGCAGAAATAATACCAGTGAAATGAGAACTTGATCTTATAGAAGGAGGGGGACTCGAGGGAGAGGATTATTAACTGAAGATGGGGATTAGGCCTTGTAGATAACGTTGCATTGATAAGTATGTTATTTAGAAACTAAATCGATGTTGTTTGTATGGTAAGAGGAACCCTTCATCAGTGAGTCTCGGTCATACAAGGCCATTTGACAGTCAAATAAACTAATTAACACTAGAAGGAGCCTTTCAGGGAAGGAATACTTACAAGAAGGAGTGTTACGAGAGGAGGGTTGAGTTATCGAGGAATACTTGTCATAACTGCAAGAAACTGTTACAAGAAGAGGAAGGTAGAGCTATCGAGGAATACTTGTCATAACAACTGCAAGTTACTGTTACAAGAAGAGGAAGATAGAGCTATCGAGGAATACTTGTCATAACAACTGCAAGTTACTGTTACAAGAAGAGGAAGGTAGAGCTATCGAGGAATACTTGTCATAACAACTGCAAGTTACTGTTACAAGAAGAGGAAGATAGAGCTATCGAGGAATACTTGTCATAACAACTGCAAGTTACTGTTACAAGAAGAGGAAGGTAGAGCTATCGAGGAATGCTTGTCATAACAACTGCAAGAAGCTGTTACAAGAGGAAGGTAGAGCTATTGAGGAATGCTTGTCATAACCACTGCAAGAAACTATGCTGTCGAAGCACAAGTGTTTTCAGAAGATGATCACAGGGTGCACTTGAAATATGTGATGACCACCTCACCTGATGAACATAGCATCAGGGTCAATAGGTTTCTTATTTATATTGAATGTCCCTCTGATGACCACCACAAGGGCAGCGCATCATTCAATAACACAATGGAAGAATTCAAATACACAATTTGCAGGACTATAATTTGTTCTCAATGTGTTTTCCTTAATCTTTTTTCTCAAGAAGCTTGTAATATTCATGAATTCATCTCATGGCCAAAGACACATTTTTATTCCACCAACATATTCATATTTGTAGATTATCTTTTCTTGTGATTGGGACTTAAGAGGCATAAGTGGATGATATGCCTCTACATCAGAAAGTACATAAAGGGCTGCAGGGAGTTAGCATTACAAGTTAATATGTATGGAAAACAGGGGAAAAAGTCGCAGCAGAATTTACTGATAGCAATAACAAGACCCTATGTGACTTTGAAATGAGCTTTTATTTCATTCTATCACAGTGTTTACATAATTTCCAATTTAGAGTGATATTTTATGTCTTAAATTTGCAAAAGCTTATAGAAAATAAGGCAATTTACTTGTCGTGTCAGGATATGAATATTTCATAAGATCTTAGCTTCTTAATTCTTCAAAAGTTTGTTTTTCAGGGATAAATGCAGGGACATGTATTACTTATGACAATATTTTCGAACCTTTAGCTGACATTCTGATGTTGACTTGGCAGATGTTTATTTGAGTGGTTCATAGCCTTTTAGACGAGAACTTTTGGGAAACAATTCTTTTGATTAATTTGAAATGGTGTTATTGATTCTGGCCTGTTGTTCGGTGTTAGATTCGGAGACACCAGACTTAGAAAGTTCCCAACTCTGTAACTTATCAGACGGTTAGTTTCATGGGTTTTTTCATCAGCACTGTAAACTATTCCAGGATGTTCCAGCTGTCATTCTCAGAATTTATGACAATTTGGCAAAGAGAACTAATTCTTTGAATGTGATCACAAGAGGGACATTCAGACGATGGATCCCCTAGAATAAGCCAGGGATTACTGGCAACTGATAAATAGTGCCTGTGGCTTTGTAACTTCATCCACCAATATGGTATTTTGGTTCAGTTATGTGTTTTCGTCTTATCACAAAGGAATGCAAAGACTGTGATTTCTAAGGTAATGATGTAGACAAGTATTGAATAGGGTTTTTGAAATGATAAATTGTGTCTGCTTTTGGGCTAAACGCATGCTGCCTTCGTGATCAGATTAGGTATGCCAATACCCTGTTGGCCTCATCAGTGATGTATAGATTTACTAGGCTATACAGACTAAACACATTTACTGCTCTCTAAACCAGGCTCCTGTGCTTCACCAGAGTCAGCATGGAACCTGGGTGATCTATTTGGATGTCGAACATGAGAAAGATGATATAAACATCACAATGCAATGGCCATCTTGGACAAATAATCAATACCATGGTCTTGATTATACATCAGGTGATCCGATGGTCCTGTGAAAGTGTTATGTAGCGAGTCAGACAATCGTGCATCAGTTCCATCGTGGCGTTGTAGTGAACAGATGGAAAAGCACACAGTGCTTATACATATTGTATAACCTGACACGTGACAGAAATACAGTAAAAGCCACAGAGCTTGGCCTGTCATTCTAAGAGGTGAAACATCCCGTAGGATCAGATTGAGGGGTAGACTCCTGACTGTTTGGACAAGCTCGAGACTGAGACTGGTGATATGGACTGGCAGCTACATATTTGGGCTGCTTAAAATGATAGGCTGCAGTCTCTCGGTTGTCTGGGCAACCTGCATGAATATGGATTCTGATATGTCAAAGTACTGTAAGGATGAAATTGGTGATGATGACCCCTAATTTTCTTACATACTTTCATCATATACATCTTTATATCTCGGTAACTGTCTGAGAATCACAGAGGCTTGGAATGTAGATGTGTACAAAATTGCTGACAATTACTGTGGGACAAACAATAACCTTCCTGAAAGATCCATCCTACAAATGGTCTTAAGCACTGCAGTATCAGCAGTCATTGTCCTCTGCAACATCATCTTCTTGTGGAGAATATAGACAGGTCATCAGGTTCCTGTAACTTCAGCCACCAATGGTGTTGGCAGTCTTGGAGATAGGGCAGAAGTACTGCCCGAGGGTTGGGGGCAGATAGAGCCAAGATGGCAGTCTTGGAGATGGGCAGAAGTACTGCCCGAGGGTTGGGGGCAGATAGAGCCAAGATGACAGCCTTGAAGATGGGCAGAAGTACTGCCTGAGGGTTGGGGGCAGATAGAACCAAGATGACAGCCTTGGAGATGGGGCAGAAGTACTGCCTGAGGGTTGGGGGCAGATAGAACCAAGATGACAGCCTTGAAGATGGGCAGAGGTACTGCCCAAAGGGTTGGGGGCAGATAGAACCAAGATGACAGCCTTGGAGATGGGGCAGAAGTACTGCTCGAGGGTTAGGGGCAGATAGAACCAAGATGGCAGCCTTGGAGATGGGGCAGAAGTACTGCCCGAGGGTTGGGGGCAGATAGAACCAAGATGGCAGACTTGGAGATAGGGCAGAAGTACTGCCCGAGGGTTGGGGGCTGATAGTCTAATAAATCTTCTTTTGATGCATTCCACTTTGTGCTAAGGTTTATGACGTGTTTGGTTCAGTGAAAACACAGTAATCATTATAAAAAATGTACACGTTTTTCTTAAAAGCCTACATTCATTCAGAGTAAGCTGTGTAGAGCTATATTACAGCAGCAGGGGGACTCCATTGATGGCACAAACCCTTCATGGGTAAAATCCAACCCAACTGAAAAGCTTTCTGTAAAAGGCGACTATGCTTGTCCTAAGAAGCGACTAACGGGATCGGGATCGAGTGGTCAGGCTCGCTGACTTGGTTGATGCATGTCATCGTATCCCAATTGCATGGATCAATGCTCATTATGTCAGTCACTGGATTGTCTGGTCCAGACTCGATTTTTTACAGACCAACACCGTATAGCTGGAATATTGCTGAGAGCGGCAAACAAACAAACCAAACCAAAACTATGCTGACTGTTGCATAAAACAACATGCATTTACCCTTTCCTCACACAAGTGCAGCTCCGGCATGACCTGTCAGCCATGTTGTTTATCCAATCCTCCTTTTTGATCAGCTTGGCATACAGTGGACCTGGCTATGCCACAGCATTCTCCCGACTATACCAGCTGAGTTTCCTACACCATGATGCATGGTGCAGTACACTATGCACAGCTCCTAATGTGATAATGAGGCCTGATATACACACTGGTTGGAAGCTACAGTGAATGCTGCTATCAGACCACTTCACACCCATAACGTGGCACTATGGGTAATTATTACACAATACATTATCGTCAGCAATTGATCGCGCTGCTTTCGCCGACGCTGTTATTTCTACATAAACACGTGTGACTTAGGATAAGGAAATGCATTTCTGTTTAAATAATAGACACTGCAGGGGAGGGAATTATGGAGATATTCCGCGATAGTAATGCAAATTATGGATCGTTATTGTGCCTGTGTTTCAGTGGGGTATGTTTATTGCAAACAAACATACATGTGTTTGTGAACAGGTATGCGTGTCGATATCACACTCCTACTGATTAATGCCAATTTGCAACAGTAATCACTTCGATTCGACATCCGCTAGATGTCAATACCTGCATCAGTCTGCTCTACGACGACGTCGGGTATTACAAAGACCGACTCCAGCTTAAAGTAACCGTCGTTGGAATCAATATGGGCTATTGACGTGCGACATGGGCAAGCTTATGGTGCGCTTCATATTGCAATTTGTTGTCTGGCCAAGTAGATATTTAGTGTAATCGCTTGTCCTCTCCCATAACCCCCCTCATTTCCGTGCCGAGGGCGATAATTGAGCTATCTATTGGCTTAGGCAAACACATTACATCTATATTAGGATTTTGTCGTACCATAGACAGAGATGGTCTCGTTATTTCTTGCCGCGTTCGTTGATGATCCTGTGATGTTCTCTTAGAGTCTACTGTTTTATGACCACAGATCCTCGATTCCTGTCAATATAGAACTCGGTCTCTAAATGAATCTGCAGTAATTGCCTTATTGGCAAATGCGTCTGACCACTTTTAGTTCTGGCGAATCGGGTCGTTATGTTCGTGTTTGAAAAGTGACGATCATGCTCTTTCTGACACATATCTTTTCCAAATGATTAACTTCTCCAGGCATTAATAGCACATGCACATGACTCAGTCATCGTTTTTCTACTTTTTTATTATTTTAATGTTTTCCAAAGTTTTTCAGAAGAATTGATCCCACCCTCCTGACTGCCAACTCACAGGTCGGACTTTACCCTAAATCTAATTTCAGTTTATAAAGAAACTAATGACGTTGAATCTAGCATCTTTGCACATGCAGATTTTTGTAAATGGATGATGTCTGAATCTTTTCAAATAAGTGGTTTAAAGAAATCCAAGGATAAGAACTGACAAAAGATGGATAAAATCTTTACAAAATGGAGAATCTCTTGAGAATTTTCAAGTTCTCTTTTTAATCACAAAAATAATTATTCATTCATCACCAAGCCTATGAAGATGGCTGCCTCCATGTTTAGTTCCTATAACTCAGTCGGAACCTTTGCCATGCATCTCCGTTAGGGAGGAGCATAATACTGGCAAAAACTAATTAGCAAAAATGTCTTTGAAATTTTAATGGAATATTCATTCATTAAAGAATTTTAAATGCTAATTTGGATGCAGAAGTTTGGCATATCATTTTTGTAATCAGCCAATATGTAAATGAGGGTTTGGGTATTTTCAACTGTCAAATTGAAATCCCACTCATGACTCGGCTATTTAACAATTACCACCCAAACTGGGAGGACATTTAGCCATCCTGAATCATACGCAACATTACCCATGGTGCAAGTTAGTGTCCAGGAAGATCACTGGTCAATTTGGACATACGGCGATGGCCCATCAAACATCTTAGCCGGACACTTGCTCAATTTGCCATCCATCAGTCTCCTGTCACTCAACGCCATCAAGCTCTCTGGACACTCCTCATCATCTGCCGATCAGCTCCACGTTCCTAAACCACGGAACTTCTGTCACTGGAGGAGTTCCATGGAAGCAGCTTGAAGCATCAGTGTCTTCATTTCTTTCATTACAACTAATTGTTTTACATTTGTCTTAAAATTCACTTTTTTATATCAAATATTGGATCAAATTCTTTCCATTCATTTTAAGCAGAATATTGTGAATATTTTGTTACAAAATTGGTATGAATGAGTGCTTCAATCCAATATACACTTGTTACTGATCACATTGAACAAAACTTGAATGAAAATGACTTTGCATGTGCCATTGTGCAGAGCAGGTCATCAATTCGGGCTTATTCCCAAGAGACTGGGCATAAAACCAGACAAACGACAATGGCTGCCCCTCTCTTGTCTAATAACAGCACATTTCCTACTTGCAAATGTTCACGACTGCTTGTGTTCGATATTGGCGTCTGTCTTTAAAACGTTGCCGTCTGCTGGTCATGGTCTCTGCAGACCAGTTGCTTAATCCAACTGCTGGACTTCCTTTGTTCCTGGTTTGAACAGGTTGCTGGCGGAGACTCGGATGATTTGGCCGTCAGATTTGTTGGCAGCAGAAAAATCCCTTGTCGTGAATGGCAACAATGTTGCCATCTTGCACCCTGCTGGATGCATAGCCTGAGATTGAATAGATGAGCTAAAAGTAGGAATGACACGGCTGATCGTAAAATAGAACAAGTTTAATTTGTTCCTTCCCCCTGTCTGCGAACTGATCGTCACTCAACCTGGCCCTCCTGATAGAAGCGCCTTTCTTCAAATAAATGTAAATTCCTTTGCTGATGATTTGAAGGAAATGACATGAGTCATGTGACTTTGGACAGGAACGTTTGTAGAAACGTGAGAATTGCTGGAAAAGCGATCTTTTCCCAATTTCCATTTGTGTTATTGACATTTATGGCCCCTAAAAGAACATGTGTACACTGGGCGGTCAATCACGGGTTTATTCTGACTGGCCTGTGGGACAGCCTTTCTAAGCTGATACGATTGTGGGATGCGGTAGCATAACGTGACACTCTAATATTCTCTCATCACTTGTTGGGCAGCGTATTGTCCTGTCCTCTCCTGTTGAAAACTAAATACCATCAAACATCCAACCAGCAGCCGCGGACTCTGATCAGGGTTTGGAATTTGACATTCCATCGGACCCTTTCCCCATGCTCCCTATTAATCTGCCAGTCACATGACAGCAGCCATGTTTATCACATGAATTTTTAACAATGGCGACCTCCATCAGAGAGTTATAAAAATCCCTATAAACCACCAAATCAACCCACTCCATGTTGCCTTCGTTTTGATGTCTGCAAAAATGAAATATTTATCGGCGCAATTGAAGCGAGAGTAATAAATCTTGTCGTAATTGACAACGAACTGCCACCCTCCCATAATGCCTCAGTCATGTAGAAAAACTTTGTCTGTTATCTCCTCGCAATGTCGACCCTAATTTCGGCTTTTTCGTTTTAACAACTGGTCAAAATGCGCAACAAGACTTGCAGCTTGATTTAGTGTCACCAAAAGTGAAATTTCTGTTGTTTTATCTGATTAACTTGTTAAAATTACATTACTTGAACAACATGTCATTTTCCCCTCGACTGGAGGGCTGCCATTATGACAACTTGGACAAGAAAGATAATTATGCCATATGTAGTCTGCCATATTGACGGACAGCAGCAGGTTTATAATATTATTGATGTAATACTTCTTTCATTCCAGATCACATTGTGATGCGGCTGTCTGTGAGAATGAACCAACAGGACTTTGTGTCAACGGACTTCACATTCTTTGACTGCAGCCTTCACAACTCGTAAGTCTAGCATATACTCTACCATATACACCTGGCGCAGATAACACAAAGTTTCAGAAAGTATAAAAAGTTTGCAACTTACACAAATACTGTCATTATGATAATGACATACGAGATTGAAATTGAAAAATCATTGAATACATGCACAGAGATGAAATTCTGAAAATGAGAGTAAAGGCAGAGAAACTGTTTGAAATTCAGAAAATCAGCTTCAAACAATAAAATGAAGCCAAAGAATTTGAAAATTTCTGGGAAAGATTGATTTTGCATATTTGAAACAAGCTCATGCAAGTGTGACAGACACCAGTGCCACCGTCTCCTCCATTATTTCAAGGTACTGGACTGAACCATTCAGACAGCTACTCATGGACACTGTGAGATCAAATTCAGACAAGATTAGAATCCATCCAAGAAATGGCATTGATTAATTGTCATCGTAACTGTACCCCATTACTGCGGCCAGCTACAATGGAATAACGGTACTATCCACATGACTAGCCAATCAGACCCCAGAGTAACGATGGCACTGGCCAAATGTCTTTATTAAGGATTACAGTGGTCATTAGGCTGCTAAAAAACGAGCCAAAAAATGTAATCAGGGAAGCATTAAATTAACTGTGAGTAACTTGTTGGTCAGCTGTCAACCACTTGCGGACATCATCTCGTTGATCAAATCTTACGATGCTTAGTCACTTCTTGTGAAAGATCAAAATCAGTTACGGACAAAATTTTAATTATGGGTTAAGGTTTTTTTTTCATTTTTGTTTTAAATTTAGCAAAATATTACCCTTGCGTATCCTGCAGCGGGCAATCGATAGCTTGCTTGAATACACAATTCAAGATGGCTGCCCGAGTTTGCATTAATCTAATAGTGTCATTCATCATAGCTGAGAACCCTTGAAAAATATTAAACAGCTCGTATGTTGGACATTTTACATGTGATGTGTTGCAATACTTCCAAAAAGCAGCCTGTTAGACTGGTGATGTGCCAGGGTTTGGGGACATGTATGGCATCCTCAACAGTATTCACATCATCCTCGATTGAGGTCAAACTACGGATTCCTTTCGTTCAGGAAATGATCTGCTCTGATAAAAAAAAAGTACACAGAAAACAAAGCCTGCTTATTGATTGTGACATTTTCATAGATAGAGGCCAGCTTTACATGCAGTTAAATCACACCCACTTTGTTGGTTTACGAGACTTGGGATGTAAGAAGTGACGAAGTTTGTGAATTTTCTTAGCTTCTTCTGTATCAGATAACACATTTATCTGATTTCCTCATCTCAGGGGATTGAGCACGCTCATGAGTTTGTGCGTCTGAAAATGTAAATTTGTTTGAAAGAAAACAGATTAGTCACTTTCTGCCGCAGCAAGTGCCGAAGCTGATTATTAAATGTAAACCTACACTGAGATAATATCTTGGGAAGTCACAGTTTGCATCAAGAGATATGGCATTCAATGTATGCAGACCCGCACCTCATTTGCATAGGGCATTGATGGCCGGAATTGGAAGATATGACATTTTGAAAGTGCAGGAGAGTCTGTCATTTGCATGTTGCATGAAAGCCCAACAAGTGTCGGCAGAGGAAGCATGTTTTCCTGGTTCTGTTAATTGAAGGTGATTGTGTTGGATGTGGGGTCAGGACAAGTCAGATGATACAAAAAACATCAATCAGACAGAAGAGTTTACTCTTCAGCATTGGAGGATGAGATAGTGTGCAACATTTGGCTGAGTCAGACACCCTGCTTGTCATAACAAATGAGAAATATGCATATCTCAACAGCAATTGACTTGGCAGACAGATTCGGCTCCCCTGGATGGATCCTAGTAGATTGAAGGGCTCTCCATTCCTGAATCATGAAGGGGAAGTCCCCACAAACATTCTGCTGATCAAAAAAGGGCGGGAAGGTTACGGCTGCTACTTTAACTGCTATTACTCAGGTATCAGGGGAGGTAATTGAGATGGGACTTGATGTCTCTTTCACCTCTTCCGTAGGGAGGTCAGGTTTAGGGATTGTCTGTTGGGTTAGCCAATATGATAAAACTTCTCATATATGGTTTTTTTCACATTGGAGAACAACCTACCCTACACAAAACAATTTGTCAGAGATTCTGCATACTCGTGAGTGGTTACACTAACAAAACAGAAGGGTTGATGATACTGACATGAGTCGGACATTGGAATATCAGATGATCAAATTATGAAGCAATTGAAACAAGATGTTGATTTATGAATGTGGTAAAAGGTAGTTCCAGAAAAACCTCCAAGTGTGATTTGTTCTCATCGTGGTGATTCTTTGTTTTAATTCAGCTCAGGATCACAAGTTTTGTCCATTTTTTTAAAAATATGATTCAATTGTAATAATTATGACTGTTGTCAGGGGACTCCTTTTCTTCAAGGATGTTGTCAATTTCTGTGATTAAACAGTTATACCACTTGACAAGTGATTAACAATTATTGAAAGATTGCATAATAATTACACGAACAACGCTTGTTCCCACAGACTTTGTTTGGAAATTAAAATTGTTCTCAAATTGTAAGACACTTGATGATTTGAAGGTTCTCAGCCTGCCAAAATCCCTTGTTTTGTAATCAATTCGAATAATTACTGTAATGAGTTTTTGAATAATCCTTTCCTCATTTTTCTTCAAAATTGGATTTTGAAAATTGTCATGTAATCAATTTTGTTTTAACCATCCACTCACAAATTAAACATGTTGTTAAATAACTTACAATGTCATCTTGACATGACTGCTTATAAATAGTTGTTAGGAAAGATGTTAGCGATTACTGTTCAGAAAATTGGAGAAACAAGTATAAAGCCATTCTCACTTTCTTAGGTTACGCTGCAAGAAATGGCTGATACTGCATGCTGTTTAATTTCACACATGTACTGCTGTAGGAATAGATTCTGTATATGCTTGTAGTCAGGATAATAGTACATATCTTACATGTTCCTTGAGTGTGACATGTGTTGTGCAACTTATTGATCGCAGATCAATATTATATGATGTCATTTTGAGGATAGACTTGTTGCTATTATTTACATGATTTGAAGATAAACGAAAGTGTAGAGACTAGAGTGTTCTGCATTTCATCAAGTTCCATCTCAAATATATATGTCTCAAAATTCACAAATTCTTTTGGAATTGATGATGGGGATGAATTGGTGATAGCCATTTTACAAATTAAATTATAAGAATTGCGATAGTTCAAGAAAAGTGAAAATATCAAAAATAAATTTGACAGCGATGGAAAAACATTTGAATCCTGTATTGGAAGTGACAGCTTTGTAATTTATTTTAGCTCTGTAAAGGTTAATGTAGCAGAATACAACGCAGGCTGTGCAAATGATGAAGAGGTAGCATGATCTTAGAGATGTTCAGCGAGATGTTGGCCATCTATGTGATCTGATCAATACATAGTCCGAGATAGCCCATTGCCCACTACAGCATCTTCTGAGATTGTTTGCACAAGAGTCGGGAGGTTTGACTTCCCTGCTAACAGTAGCACGATATATCGGAAAACGGTCACTGTAAATAATGGTTTTATGACACTGAGGAGCGACGCCAATTGGGTTATGAATTTGATGGCACATCTCTCGACAGTTTCATCTGAGACTTGAACCTACATGCTACGTACAGAGACTCTCCCAAGGGAGAAGAGCTGGCCTGTTTAAACTTAGACAGAGAAGAGTGGAGAAGCAGAAAGTGAATTAAGGTGTATGTATCACATCTCTGGCCCATAAGGGACACAGCGCCATCTATGTATTGTGCCGTATATGGGGGATATAACACGCAACAATTGGTAATTGTCTTTCATGGCACCGCTGTTGTAGATCTTTTCCTTGGCCATAAATTCTTCTGCCATGTGATATGAACTGGTATAACCCTCTTGGGTTCCAGTCTGGCTGCTCAAGTGGATTATTCACCATTTACTGATTGCCATTTTGTGTTTGCATTTAAAGGTACTGTTATATCCTCATGCAAGGTGTATAATTTGTTTACCTCAAACGGAACCAATTTCCAAATTAATGCAAGCATGCAGGTTCTAGGTCATAAAGTCCCCAGTGCCTCATACTAGTTGAAAGAGCTGTCAAAACAGAGGAACGGGTGGTTTCAATGTGTGACCTGGCTGATTGTTTGACGCAACAGAGTGGATTGTTGCTCATGATATCAACCACTGGTTTATCTGTCAGTTATGTAAGAGCTGTCAAAACAGAGGAACGGGTGGTTTCGATGTGTGACCTGGCTGATTGTTTGACGCAACAGAGTGGATTGTTGCTCATGATATCAACCACTGGTTTATCTGTCAGTTATGTGAGAGCTGTCAAAACAGAGGAACGGGTGGTTTTGATGTGTGACCTGGCTGATTGTTTGACGCAACAGAGTGGATTGTTGCTCATGATATCAACCACTGGTTTATCTGTCAGTTATGTAAGAGCTGTCAAAACAGAGGAACGGGTGGTTTTGATGTGTGACCTGGCTGATTGTTTGACGCAACAGAGTGGATTGTTGCTCATGATATCAACCACTGGTTTATCTGTCAGTTATGTAAGAGCTGTCAAAACAGAGGAACGGGTGGTTTCGATGTGTGACCTGGCTGATTGTTTGACGCAACAGAGTGGATTGTTGCTCATGATATCAACCACTGGTTTATCTGTCAGTTATGTAAGAGCTGTCAAAACAGAGGAACGGGTGGTTACGATGTGTGACCTGGCTGATTGTTTCACGCAACAGAGTGGATTGTTGCTCATGATATCAACCACTGGTTTATCTGTCCAGATTTAATTATTTACAGGCTGCCATGATATATTACTTCAACATTATTTAAAGATTTTTAACTCACTTTCCTCTCCAAGAAAATAAAATCATTACTTTTAATGGTTGGTTGTCATAATATTGTGACTGAGTTTAACTTACCTCTGTTTGTCTGCTGGGAGTAATTGTCTTTGGTCTCAAAGTGATTCTCTAAAAACCCATAGAATCAAATTATGT